AAGACCTGGAAAGTAGCATTCAGGAGGAGGTAGAAAGAACATAACTATTAAAGTAAGCCTGGGCTTTGAGATCCTTGCCTCACCATTCCATTAAGTGTGTGTGTATATCTCTGTGTGTACATGGTTTTTGTTTTGTTTCTCTCACTCTTGATTTTAATTAATTAATTAATTTTTGTTTTTAATACTTCTGGATTGCAGTCCCCCCCCATTTCCCCACACCCTCCTTCATTCTCCCCCAGATCCACTGCTCCTCAGATTTCATCCAGAAAAAAAAGTGGGCTTCTCAGGAATAGCCATGAGCACAGCATAACAAGGTCCAGTAAGACTAGGTACAAACCCCATGTCAAGGCTGGGTGAGGCAATCCAGAAGGAGGAAAAGGGCCACAAGAGGAGACTGAAGAGTCAGACATACCCCCTCCCCTCAATCTTCTTCTCCCAGATGTCTCCCTATTTATCCTCTCTGCCTGCCAGCCCAGCCTATCCTTTCTCCTGCCTTGCTATTGGATGTTCAGGTCTTTATTAGACTAGTCAGGTGTTTTAGATAGACAAAGTAACAGTTAAACAAATGCAACATAAAAGAGTACAACACACTTTGCATCATTAAACAAATACTGCACAGCATAAACAAATGTAACACATCTTAAAAATAATATTCTACCTCTAATTGTTGTTGAGGGCTCTGGGGATATCCAGGGTCTGGCCAGCCACCCGGGACCATGTTGATGCCCAGGGCCCATGCTGCTGCTGGGACTGTGCTGATCTGAGGGGGCTGCCTTGCCATTGGGCTGAAGATGCTGTCAGGGGCAATGTCTGGGTTCATGAACCTGCTGTAGCTGGGGTCTGTGGTAATGTCCATGACTGGTATTAGTATGGGGATCGTTGGAACCATGTTGTGCTGAGCCTGCCCCTCACTGGACATTGCAGCAGGGAAGGCTGGTCTATCCCTCAAGGAAAAGCTTGCCCCTGTCCTTGGAAAAGATGACCCCACCCTTCACCATAGGTGTCCATCTTACTTGGGAAGCACACTAGAGCTGATCCTCTGGTTGGGGACACAGGTGAGCTGACCCTGAAGGCATGAGAGCATCTGTCATGTGGAGGCATGGGTGAGAGGATGCCCTCCCCCCTTCACCCAATCCCTGTTGCAGGTGAGAGAGCTGACCCCATCCCTAATCCCTCCTATGCCCCCTACAGCAGTTGCGAGAGAGGGCCCTGCACCTTGCCTGGGCAAAACGGTAGAGCTGGCCTTGGTGATGTGACTGAGGGAGACCCAGCCTGAGAGCCCAAGAGCAGGAGAACTGTCCCAGCTTCTTGCTGTAGGCTGCATTGGGTAGTGCTGTAGAGGACATCTGGGTAGTGACAATGAGTGAAAACTGACCAACCCAGCTACCACTCAGGCTCAGAACCAGGGCTGTGAGTTGTCCCACTTCAGCACCCACCTCATTCGTGGACTGTTGGAACATGTGGAAGGGCGAACCTAGAGTTCCAAAACAGCAGGGTCTCTGTGACCAGGACAATAGGGCATCTTTCCCAGAGGAGCCCAGTGAGAGCCCGTTACCAGTGGTGTAGCAGAGACCAGATGCCTCCAACCAGACCAGACCATGAACACTTGAAAGTAAAGGTGATCAGACTAAAGGGTAAACTGGCTGGCTGTGCTACAGCTTCCAGGACAAGACTCTTCTGTTTTTGTTTTATTTCTTTGTTTTGTTTGGTTTTTCTTTTAAATTTGGTTTTTTTTGGGGGGTACAAGGACAGAGGACAGATTTGAGGGGACAGGGAGATAAGTGGGAATGGAATGCATGATGTGAAATCCATGAACAGTGAAAGTAAAACAACAAACTAAACCTAAAAAAGGAGGGATGAAAAAGGCTCATTGATTAAGAACACATACTGCTCTTGCAAAGGTTTTGAGTTTGATTCCTAGCATCTTTTTTGGGTGGCTCACAATTGTCTGTAACTCCAGCTGCAGGATATCAGACACCCTATTCTGGACTCAAGTACATGGACTCATGCTTCATATACCTCGGCCCCCAATGATTGAAAACCAGTCTAAAGAAAGAATCTGGCTGGTGAGGTGGCTTAGTGATTAAGAGCACTTCCATAGGATCTGGGTTTTAATTCCCAGTGCCCAGAGGGTGGTTTATACCATCTGTAACTCCAGTTCCAAGGGATCTGACCTTCATCTTCTGCCCTCTTCAGGCACCAGGCATGTAAATGGTGCATAGGCATAAGTGCAGGCATAAAACTTGCATACAAGTAAAAAAAAAGTAATAATAACAATTCTGAATTGCAGATACAGAACTTCTTAAGAAGTAGAAATTAGAAGCTGAAGAGATGGCCCAATGGTTAAGAGCACTGACTGCTCTTCCATAGGACCGTTCGATTCCCAGTACCCATTTGGCTACCAACCATCTGTAACTCCAGTTCCAGGGAATCTGATGCTGTCTTCTGGCCTTGCATGAAATGCATAAACATACAAGCAAACAAAATACCAATACACATAAAATAAGGTGTTTTTTTTTAAGTAGTAGGAATTAACATGCCTTCTTAAGTTCCTAATAGCTTTTTCCTCCCTAACAAGATAAGTAACAATGTTGATTTTTGTATTATATTTTTTTCATTTGGGAACTGAAATATATCAAATATGGATAGATTTAATATTTATTAAAACTATTATACAATTGTACTGTGTGTGTGTGTTGCTAGGGATTGAGTGGGGTCTTACATGTACTAGGAAGCCACTGAGGTAGGTTCCAAGCCTTACAAAGAGCTTTTGAAAATTTGTGTGTTTCTATTTATTGTTTTTGTTTTATTTTGTATGTCTTGTTTTGTGTTTTTGAGACAGGGTTTCTCTGTGTAACCCTGGGTTTCCTGGAAATTGTTCTATAGACCAGGCTGGCTTCAAACTCAGAGATTGACCTTCCACCACTGCCTGGCCTGTTTATTGTTGATATAGGCTGTTATTTAAAAGAGTAGGAGGGGCTGGGAATGTAGCAAATGGTAGCAAGAAACCCAGGTTGGTTGTATTACTTACCATCAGAGACTTCAAAGATCTGAGAGAAAAGTTTGCAGAGGAAGAAGAAAAGGATTTCATGTCAACTCACTATACTCTGGTGTAGATTTTCTTTGTTTTTCCTCTTAGGGAAATGAGAAATCAAGGGGTAGAATCTGAGAACTTGTACTTTGTCATGTTCTTGACAGAACTGATGACTGGATGAAGTATGGCTTAAGTATTTGATAAGAGCCAATGTTCTAGATGTTAGAAGTGTTTATCTTACCTAAGCTTTGAAGTGGTAAAAATTGACTTCAGGGACATGCCCACTACCTCATAGCTCTTACTAGTTTTTAGCTCTGACTAATGAAGTAGGACTCTAATTTTTATTTTCTTGGTATTGTTATTTAATTCTTATTGTTAAAACAAGGAAAGTTTTAAGTGAATAAAGAATTTTAAACAATGCCTGTGGCTTAATTTTAGGAAGTAGCTATATGCATATAGCCATATACAAATACATAAAAAGCCTTCTGTTTCGCCTTCATAATCATTGTATGAGGAGAATAAGCATCTACACGATTATATCTTGGCTAATTGTGGCAGCTCTGCAAATTCAAGTTCTGGATGTGCTGCTAGCTAGCTCTGTGACCTGAGGAATATTGAACTTTTCTTTGATGGTTTCTTTATAAAAATGGGGATGAGAAAACATTTGCCTCATTGAGTGGTTGAGATGATAAAAAAGGTTACTAAACACAAAATACTTAAGGTTTAGAGTAACAATGTGGCAAGTGCTGATTGGTGTGTTGTACTCGTTTGTTAGACTTTGATTAAAGTACCATTTGTAGGGAGGTGTTCTTTCTAGAACCATGTTTTCTTGTCACATGTTTATGTGTAATGTGAGCCTTATTAATACTCTGTCAGCATTTGAGGTTGGAACATAAGTGTGTGGCTGTACTCGGAGGAATCCAGCAAGAGGGAGAACTAAGCACCGTAGCAACGGTTGCTATTTGTGTCCTGAACACCAGCTGCCGAGAACAGGCTTCCTTTTTAATTCTGTTTTCACTGAGAGTTTGGGATGTAGCCTTGTCTCAGCAAAATGATTTGGTTGAGGTAACCCATCTTTGCGATTTCATGACTACATGTTTGGGGGAGTCTGTCTCATGTTAAATATGAGATGATTAAGTTTTGTATGTATGAAAAAGGAAGGATTAGCTGGCAGTGATGGCACACATTTTTAATTTCAGCACTCGGGAGGCAGATGCAGGCCAGGCAGATCTCTGTGATTTCGAGGCCAGCCTGGTCTACATAGTGAGTTCCAGGACAGTCAGGCTAGTACTGCCTTGAAAACCAACCCTCCCCCCCCAAAAAAGAAAGAAAGCAAAAGGAAAGATTAGGCTTTAGCATTCAGTCAGTTGCTGCTGTGTGGTGCAGTGGTATTATTAGTCACATAGAAACCATTTTCAATGTGTGCAGTGAGATTTATGATTTATTAGCATGCTGTGGTTCTGCACAAACATCCATGCACATATTGTCTGCCGTGGAGTTCAGAAAACACAAACTTTGCAATAAATACCTCATTACCAAATGCTTTTTTGAGTTAGATAGCAAGCATTTCACAAAGAGTTTGTTGCATATTTTTTATTTCTAATGTGTTGAAGTATTTCAAACCTTATGAGGTGCTTTGAAATACAAACAGCCCACTTACAAGTCTTAGCTGTTAGCTTACCTAGACAGGACAAACACTATTCTGAAAATGGGTAACACCCAAATGAATGTGTGGTCTGATTGTGTGTGTGTGTGTGTGTGTGTGTGTGTGTGTGTGTGTGTGTGTACACGTACATGTTCCAGTATAAATTGCTGCTTAAACAACATACTTTTGTGTTTTGATTGTCCTATTAAGACTCAATAGTATAAATATGCTATTTGGGATAATTTGAACAAATAGTATAATGTATTGTGCCAATGAATTTATAATCGAAGGACTTAACAATTTAATATTTTTATTCTCTAGGTATTATTAATCCAAAGAACCCAAAGGAAGCACCAAAGTCCTTCAGCTTTGACTACTCTTACTGGTCTCACACTTCGGTGAGTCTGATGCCTCCCTTTGCTTTTCTCGTCTGTCTTTTATCCTAGGTTGTTCCAAGATTCGATTCTAGTTTTCTTAGTGTGGTCAAGGATGAATTCTGTGTGTGTGTGTGTGTGTGTGTGTGTGTGTGTGTGTGTGTGTGTGTGTGTTTGAGGAAGATGTGTTAGCTTTGTTATTGTTTTTTGAGATAGAATCTCATTGCCCACATTGGCATTGAACTCACAGCCTATACTACGCTAGCTTCAAACTTGGGCCAGTATTCCTGATTTACCCCCTCCAGAGGTAGAATTACAGGAATGGGCTATAACACTTGGCTAATGAACTCCTGGTTCATAAGTTCATTTTTTAAAAATTATGTATTTGCTCACTCGTGTATTCTGTGTGTGTATATACAAGTGTGCATGCTGGGGCGGGGTGTGGGTGCATGTGTATACATGTGGAGGCTGGAGGTTGACATCTGGTGTCCTCCATCACTTTCCACCATACTGAGACAGGGTTTCTCTGAACCTGTAGCTCACCAACTGTCGAGACTGTCTGTTTAGTGAGCCCTAGGCTCATCTAGACTACTTCTTAGCATTAGGATTAAAGATGTATGCTGCCGTGGGCAGCTTCTGTGTGGGTACTGGGATTCTAAGTAGGCCTTCATGTTTGCACAGAAGCACTTTACTCCCAGAGCCATATCTCCAGCCTCTTAATTTTGATTCTTTTGTTTTGTTTTTTCGAGACAGGTTTTTTTCTGTGAATCTTTGGCTATCCTGGAACTCACTCTGTAGATCAGGCTGCCTTTGAACTCACAGAGATCTGCCTGCCTCTGCTGGGACTAAAGGTGTGAGCCACCTCCACCCAGATTAATTTAAAAAAAATTTTTTTTTTTTTGGTTTTTCGAGACAGGGTTTCTCTGTATTGTTTTGGAGGCTGTCGGTCCAGCCCGGCCTTGAACTCACAGAGATCCGCCTGCCTCTGGGATTAAAGGCGTGAGCCATCAACGCCCGGCTAATTTTAATTTTTAAAGGCATTTTTTGGGAAGTCCTGGTGTGGTGGCACACACTTTTAGTCCAAACAGTCAAGAGACAGAGGCAGATGCATCTCTGCGAGTTCCAGGCCAGCCTGGTTGATATATTAAGTTCCAGGTCAGCCAGAGCTGTATAATGAAACTGTCTCAAAGTGGTGGTGTACACTTTTAATTTCAGCACTCTGGAGGTAGAGGCAGGTAGATCTCAGTTCAAGGCCAGCCTGGTCTACAGAGCTAGTGCCAGGACTGTTACATAGAGAAACCCTATCTCAAACAAAAACAAAACAAAACAAAACAAGAATGTCTTGGAGCTCCAGTGCCTATGTGTGTCTGTGTGTCTATGTGTGTACAAAATGAAAAATAAAGATGTGTAGAAGGTTCTTTAAAAATGTATAGTACAGTTTAATGTGGAAGCAGTTCATAGGAAAGACTATTAGTTAAATGCCATAACTTTTCTTCTTTGTCTTTGCAGCCTGAAGATCCCTGTTTTGCATCGCAGAATCGTGTGTACAATGATATTGGGAAGGAAATGCTCTTACATGCTTTTGAAGGATACAATGTCTGTATTTTTGCCTATGGGCAGACTGGTGCTGGGAAATCCTACACAATGATGGGGAAACAAGAAGAAAGCCAAGCTGGCATCATCCCACAGGTAAAGCAGTTGAATGTTAGTACCTGTGTCTATCAATACTCTCAGTCTCAAATTGCTTTTTATTTGCCAAAAACTGTATTCAGAGACTGAAATGTAAGGCACAGAGGTAGACAGCCTGTTTATTTCCTTCAAAGGTGCTAACTGTTGAGAGGGAAAGACTGACTTTGTTTGTTGTTGTTTTCCTTTTGCTTTGTTTTTGAAACAGCCTTTCTCTATGCAGCGTAACAGCCAGCCCATCGGTGTTCTATTGTTGAAGGAGAATAACAATTAAGAGCATACCAGAATATAAATTTTTTTTTGAGACAGACCAGACTGGCCTCAAACTCACAGAGCTCCACCTGCCTCTGCCTTCCAAGTGCTGGGACTAAAGGCATGCGCTACCAATGCCCAGCTGAGTATAAAATTTTTAACATATTAATTGTGTTTGAGGTTTATGACGTGCACATTTGGAGAGAGAGAAAGAAAAAATATCTTGCCGGGCGGTGGTGGTGCAAGCCTTTAATCCCAGCACTCGGGAGGCAGAGGCAGGTGGATCTCTGTGAGTTCGAGACCAAGCCTGGTCTACAGAGTGAGTTCCAGGTCAGGCTCCAAAACAATACAGAGAAACCCTGTCTCAAAAAAACCAAAAAGGAAAAAAGAAAGAAAGAATATCTTATTATCTCTGTTAATAATGTAGCACTTCTCTGATTTGGGCTGTTAATGGTTCCTTCCATTCTGCTTTCCTAGTTGTGTGAAGAACTCTTTGAGAAGATCAATGACAACTGCAATGAAGAGATGTCGTACTCTGTGGAGGTGAGTGTATGAGTGTAGCTGTCCTTGACTTTTTTGTATTCCTGTCCCTCCATTCCTTTCAGATCTACCCCGTCTGTGTTTTTTTAAAGACAGGGTCTCTCAATGCAGTCCTAGTCTTAATGAACCTAGAACTCACTCTGTAGGCCAGGCTGGCCTCAAACTCATAGAGGTCTGCCTGTTTCTGTCTCCTGAGTATGTGCTACCATTTCTAGCCTCCCTTTATTATCTGTTAAAAATATTCATTTAATGCTGGGTGGTGGGTGGCCTTTAATCCAGCACTGGTGAGGCAGCAGCAGGTGGATCTCTGAGGTCAAGGGCTGCCTGATCTACAGATCGAGATCCAGGGCAGTCAGGATTACACAGAACAACCCTGTCTTGAACAATAAACACAATAATTGGTTTAATTAATTTAGTGTGTTTTGTACACAAGTATGCAATCAAGCGCCATGATGCAGGAATGGAACTTGCCAAAGTTGATTCTTTCCTTCCACTGTGTGGATCCCAAGGATTGAACTCAGGTTGTCAGGCTTGGTTGAAAGAACCTTAGCTGCTGAGCCATCTCACTGGGCCCCCCATTGCTTCCCCCCCCCTCTCTCCCCCTCCCCCTCCCTCCCTGCCTCCCTCCCTGCCTCCCTCCCTGCCTCCTTCCCTCCCTCCTCCTCCCCTTCCTGTTCTCATGTCATCCTGCCCCCTCTTCCTTTATGTTCCCTGAACCTTAGATGGGGTTAACACCTATGTTCATTTGGGTCTGAATGTTCCACAGTTGCTTATTATCAACACATTGACAAAGTTCAGACTTGAGTGCAAGTTCATTTGGCTGATGTTTGAAACCAACATGTTGGTTTACTACTTTTCTGTGAGGAATAGCTACTCATATTTGCAAGACTTAGCATCTTATTTTTTTGTTGAAATCATGATCCTGATGATTTGGTGAACAAAGGATTAGAGGAAAGGGAACCAACTAGATAATTACAGCATGATTTATTCATCACCATGACGAGTATGTCTTGCTGATAGAATAAGAATTCATGAAGTATGTTCTGATCTTCATAAGCCATTGTCATTTACAAATCCTCACTCCTTCTAGTGGATGCATTGTCTGTAGTTAACAACACTGTAAAGGAGCCAAGAGTGGTATGAACGTGGGATCCAGCTCTGAGCATGCAGGGATAGGCTGTCCTTTCCCTGCTGCCTCTCGCCAACAAGCTTCATGCCAGTGAGAGACTCCATCTCAAAAAACAAACAAACAAAAAAAAACTAATGGCCTCCGAAGGACACCCATGATAAAATTTATCTCTAGCCTTCACACGCATGTGCATGTGTGTGCCCACATGAACATACACCCACCACCACCAGCTAATGAATTAGTCATTGGTCTCTTTTGTTTTCTGTGTCTGTCTCTGTCTGAATATTTTTGAGTTTTTTTTTTGGTTTTAGGATTCCTATTTTTTTGAGATAGGGTTTCTCTGTATTTTAATACTGATCAAAATATTAATTTCCAGGCTCTTAGCATAACCTCACTTTAAGCCTCAAAACTGACAGTAACATTTCTTTTTCATTTTTTACTTACTTCATATTACATTCCAACCACATTTTTAAAATGTCAGTAAAGCTGGGTGAGATGGTACATTCCTGTAATCTCAGCATTTGGAAGGCTGAGGCAGGAGGATTGCAAGTTTGAGGCCCAGTTTAGCTACAAGATCCTGCTTTAAAGCTGGGGGGAGGCCATGGGTCCTGCGGCTAGGGCACTCATAAAGTTCTACTAGAAATACATGTTACATGTTGCGCCTAAGACAATACTGTTAGAATAACAGACCCAGTAATATGGTGTTCTGACTTATAATTGTGCAGCTTTTTATAACTTTTGTCTTTTTTTTTTTCTTTTTGAGACAAGATTCGTCTGTATTGTTTTGGAGGCTGTCCTGGGACTCACTCTGTAGACCAGGCTGGCCTCGAACTCACAGAGATTCACCTGTCTCTGCCTCCCAAGTGCTGGGATTAAAGGTGTGTGACACCAATGCCCGTCAACTTTTGTCTTTTTTAAATTAGACAGGATCTCTTTTTTTAGTTCAGGCTGACCATGAATGCATGATCCTTTTGTCTCTTCCTCCTACATACTGAGTCTTCAGGTCTGGATCATCTGCTTAGCTTTGAAAAAGTATCTAATGTGTATACATCTTTTCCAGATCCTTTAATTTACTTTAATAAAATGTTCTTAGGTGAGCTATATGGAAATTTACTGTGAGAGAGTACGAGATTTGCTGAATCCCAAAAACAAGGGTAATTTGCGTGTTCGTGAACACCCGCTTCTTGGACCCTATGTGGAGGATCTGTCCAAGCTGGCAGTCACTTCGTACACTGATATTGCTGACCTCATGGATGCTGGGAACAAAGCCAGGTATGGTAGCAAATAGACTAATGACTGAGTCCTTTGTCATATTTTGAGGTCCTTTTTTCCAGTGTAAGGACAAAAGCTGTGTTTGCAGCTATGAACGTTGCTTTAATTGTAGAGTCCTTTGAGTCTTTGGCTGTGCTGAAGAGGTATATGCTTCAGCATATTAAGTAGCTGTCTTTCATTAAAATGATGATTGTTAAAACAGGTCAGAGCCTTTGTTGAGTTAACTCTTAGGTATTAAGTCATGGTAACATGTTAGCTGTAATGTCTAGATGAGGCTGTAATTAATTCTGGAATAAATGAGCACCTAATGTAGAATAAAAATTAGATGCTCTAGTGATTACTAAAGGGATAGCTGGAGTATGAAAAGTGATTCTGATGGGTGCCTTTTGAGATGTGGGCTAACTTGATGAGCTCACAAATAAGGCAGAGTTCAGAGCAGTTGCATAAGTAGGTTTAAGGCTGTTGTTTGTGATTGTTATGTGTGGCTCTATAGAGCCTGCTATCCATTTTAACTCTCAAGGAAGAATTCTCTTGTCAAACCATCACCTTTGTGTTTATTTAGGACGGTGGCAGCTACCAACATGAATGAAACAAGTAGCCGTTCCCACGCTGTGTTTACCATTGTTTTCACCCAGAAGAAACATGATACTGAGACTAACCTTTCCACTGAAAAGGTAGGAGAACTTTTGATCTCTTGTCGTGAAGAGATTTTGTGGAGAAAATTTTGAGAAATCCCTTTTATGCTACTACCCTCTGCATTTTTTGGACAGGATAAGTGTTGTTCTTTTACTTTCTAGAGGTGGTTTTTAATTTCTACTTACCATTTACCCCACACCAGTTTTTAGTGTAGGTCTTAATGGAACTGAAAGATAGAAAACACAGTTAAAAATAATTAAAAACTTCGAGTCCAATGGTTTACTTTATTCAAGATAGTTAAGCAGTTCTTTCTGGGGAGAAAAGACTTTCTTCTAGACAGGACAACAATAATGTTCATTGATAAAGTTATTGCAGTGATGTCTTCAGGTGATTAGGCATGCATACTATGCTTCATACCTTTGCTTGTTTGTTGATCTCTATTCCTGAGAACCTGCTACTCAGTGCCTACTACATGGTGGCAGACACTCTACTACTGAGCTGTTCCTAGCCCCTTGTTTTCCTTTGTAGTTGTCTGTTTTGTTTCTCTGGTCCTGAGGACTGATGCCCATCAAGCATATAAGGCAAGCTCTCCTGAGCCACCACTGATTTTTAATTTCTCATTATGCTAGTGGTTTAATACTGTAGAGCTTGGAATGAAATGGCTTACACTGAGTCATAGCTTTGTTACATCTTAACAGAGCAAGCTACCTTAACCTCCTTATGCCTCTGGTTTCTCCTCTGTAACAACTTCAGAGGGTTGTTAAAAGGATTAAGTATTAACATAGGTTAAGTGAATATAATAGTATCTAGCTCCAAGTAGCCATTCAGTATTTGTTAATTTTGTTGTTATAATAAATAAACATATATATGATGATACTACTTAAGCTCTTACGTGGCATTTGGCTGTATTCTTTTTGTTTGGGGGTGGGGTAAGTAGGGTGCTAGGAATTGAACATAGAGCTCACTCATGTTAAATAAGTGCTCCACCCCTGTGCTGTATTCTAGATTTATTGTACTGGGACTTACACAGGATTCTCTGCCCTTTGCCCTAAAAGTGAAAGCCTTCTGATAGTGTTGTCACTAAAAACAGGAGTCATTTTATGCTTAGTGACTGATGTTTGTTTCAGCTAATTAGATCCAGGGTCTTTTGTGTCCAAACAAGTGTTTTGCTGTTGAGCTGCACCTCAGCCCAGCAGCTTCTAAATAATCTCTCCTATATAATTTTGTCTAAACTGTCCTGAGAGTTTTTGAACAATTTTCTTGAGGTATTATAAAGATGTGTAATAACCTACACACATTGAAAATATAAGTTTTAACCTCCTTTATGTTTCTGTTTTTTGAGACTGGCTGTGTAGCCTGACTGTCTTGGAACTCGCTCTGTAGACCAGGCGACCCTTACAGAGAACCACCTGCCCCTGCCTCCTGAGTTCTGGGGTTAAAGGTGTGAGCTACCCCTGCCTGACAAATTTGACCACTTTTGATAAATGCTTATATATGTGAAATAGTCAGTATGCTGAGAATTTCTGTTACTCTACAAAGTTGCATCATGACTTTATGGTGTTTCTCTGTCCCCTCTTCAACATCATCCAGGCAGCTCTCAAAGTGCTTTTGTCAGTATAGATTAGTCTTTATTTAGTATAGTTTATGTATGTGATTTTTGCCAAATTTCTTTTGCTTATAATGATTTTGAGGTTCATTTGTGTTACTGTGTTGATAGTTGGTTCCTTTTCATTGCTGAAAAATATTTCATTATTTAATTCATTATTTAATTCAACTGACCGTAGGAACATTTGTGTACATGTATGTGGGGATTCGTTTTTTGTTTTTCTGAGCACTTGTTTTATTCTTTAGTCCAGTTTGACCTTGAACTCACTCAGCTCCATGAGCCTCTTGCTTCAGCCTCAACCTGTTGGGATTACAGGTTACAGACACCACGCACAGCTGCAAATTTGATTTTCTTATTTATATTGGCAAATTCTTAATAGTAGAACTGAATCTTGTGTCAGTGTGTGTTTAGCTTCTGGTTTGGGTTTTTTTTTATTTATTTGTTTTTGTCTTTTGAAGAAGAGTCTTCTACTACATAGTCCTGACTGCCCTGGAACTTGCCATGTAGATCAGGCTGGCCTTGAACTCACAGAGATCTGCCTGACTCTGCCTCCTGTGTGCTAGGATTAAAGGTGTACTTAGCTTCTTAAGAAATGGCTAAACAGTTTTCAGAATAATTATTGCCACTAGAAGTTTATGAGACCTCCAGTTATTCAATGTTCCATGTTTCATATTTCATATGCCAATTTAATAGATTTTGTGGTGTGTGTGTGTGCACGTGTGCACGCGCGTGCACATATAGAGGTCAATGTGTGTTAAGACATACCTCAGTCTGTGTCTCTGGCTAGCTTGGAACTCACTGTGGAGACCAAACTGGCCTGGGATTCATAGAAATTCACCTGTCTCTGCTTCCTGGGTAGAAGGACTACTCCTGTTTTTGTTGTTAAGTCTTGAATTTGGTGTCACTGTATAGAGCAAACTGTCTGAGCTTGTGGATAATCCTTCTGCCTTTGCCTCTGTCTTCTGATTATGGGGATCACAAGCATGTACTACCAAACCTTATTTTTCATTTCTATATTACTGTTCTTTACTTAGGTCAGTAAAATCAGCTTGGTGGATCTAGCAGGAAGTGAACGAGCTGATTCAACTGGTGCCAAAGGAACTCGATTGAAGGTATTTATTCTAGCAAAATGGTCTAGTCAGTCAGTGTTTGTAACATGGATTTATAAACCGGCTGTGGGCCAAATCTAGTTACTGCCTAGTTTTACAAATAAAATTCTTTTGAGAGATAACTGTAACTTTGAATTTATATATTGTTTATGGTGGTATTTACTATTTTTGATACAGGCTGGCCTTGAACCTAATATATAGCTAGGATGAGCCTGAACTCTCTGATCTTCTGCTTCCATCGAGTGCTTAGATTATAGGTGTGCACCACCATGTCTCGTTTATGTAGTGCTAGAGATACGACCTGGTGCTTTGTGTGTGTTAGTCAAGCACACTACCAATTGAACCATATCCCTAGTCCTCTGTGATTGTTTTTATGCTGCAGTGGCAGAATTGCACCATGTACTATGTGACCTACAAAACCCAGTTTTTTAATTTATTTTTTAATGAAAAAATCCTAATTATTAATCTATATTTCAATGAAATGGTAAGCTAAGACAACAAAATAATTAGGGAAGAGCTTATGATTAAGAGTGAGAGTTGTATTGTATTTTGAGAAATGAGCAAAATTTGCCTAGGTGGAAAAGACAGTATACTGGGAATAGGATGTATAAGATACAGATGTAAGAACAAGTGTGGACTTTGACAGAGATACAGTTTAATAAGGACAGGCCTTTCATGTTGGTGAGTTGTGAGAGGAAGGCTTGCTTCTGTAAGATTTTGTGCCAGGCAGTGTTGGCGCATACCTTTAGTCCCTGTACTCAGGAAACAGAAGCAGGTGAATCTCAGTGAGTTCGAGGCTAGCCTGGTCTACAGAGTGAGTTCCAGGACCGACTCCAAAGCTACAGAGGGTTTCGGGAAAAAAAAAACCAACAACCCCCCCCCCAAAAGATTTTGCAGCAAAAGTATCTCAAAGGCAGAGAGGTTTGGGAGTGGGTGTGTAGTCTCAGCACATTACCAAGTGAGCAGAGGAAAGACCAAAGGCTACACACAGGTGTCTATAGAACTTGATCCTTAAAGAAACAGATATGAGGGGCTAAGGAGACAGGTGGGGGGAGGGTGGACAGGAGAAGCAGATATGCTTAGCTTATAGCAATATGTGGTATGCAGTAGTAGAAATTCTCTGATGTAATTCTTTCATGTTTGATGTTTCTTTTAGGAAGGTGCAAATATTAATAAGTCTCTTACAACTTTGGGCAAAGTCATTTCAGCCTTGGCCGAGGTGGTGAGTTTTCCATTCACTCTAAGAGGAGATGTCTGCTCAGCAAGTGAACTTGATAACGCTTAGGCTTCTTTATGAAGGTGGTTCTGGTTTTGGCCTTTCTATGTGGTTTTTAAATTTTTTTCAGGTAGGACTAATAATATAGCTTTGTACCTAAAGTAGAATGAAAACAACTGTAACTATGCAAAGCTAGAGCAAAGATATAAAACTTGATTAATTTTTTGAGCCTTATTTCATACCTCACAATAACCAAATATAGCTTTGGAGTAGTTTGAATGATGTGACTTAGGATAATGATTTTAATTTAGAGACTAGTAATACACATATTTTTAAATATAGTCATATATCAATTAATTTGATGAATGCATTCTTAAAACTATGACATTAGATGATTTTATCTTGTAGTAAGTAGAAAGAATATAATAAAATAATATATAGGTATGTCTCAACCACCAAATTGAACATAATTATATATACTTGAATGTTCTATATGACTGGCAATATAGTTTGTTTCCACCAACATTTCTACAAACAATGCATTGTGCAACCACCTGATGATAGCAACAACATTGTAATTTTTCAATTCCATTATAATCTTAACAGACCACCATTGTCTCTGCAGTGCATATGTAAATTAAAAAGTCTTTATTTTTACAGCATTGACACAGTAAAGCTAAAGCATATTTTGCGTAGTTTTTATTATTCAGTTAAAAAACCCAAAGCAGTTCTTGTATGCACTGATTTATATTAAAGGATCATTTAAATCACTTCGATTTGAATCTCTCCTTGTCTCTAGAAAGTACTCTGATTTCCATTTATTACAGAGGCTCATCCTGTATTCTTTTTTCTCCTTTAAATGCTTTCATTGGTAGGATAACTGCACCAGCAAGGTATGGCGAGGATTGGTCATTCTGAAGTAGCTAAATGATCACTTCTGTGCTTTTCACATTTTTAGAGGATAGACAGGGCGTAAGTTAGATACAACCTTCAGAAAGGGCTTGTTGCTTTTTTTTTTTTTTTTCTGGTGCTGGGATTTAGAAGGATTGCTTAGGGTTAGCTGTGAATCAGGAGACTTCACACCTGGAGAAGAAATGGAAGCTTTTACATTGTGTCGTGGTGTCTCCCCCAGAGATCTGTAAGAGTGTCTCTTAATAGCTCTGTAAACTGCTCAGAAGAGAGTGCATTGCATTTCCTTGTGGTTCTATTCTAAAGCATAGCAAACAAACTAAAACAATATTATGTATTATTAATATATATATATATATATATATATATAATCTATCCTGTTTTATCTTACTTGTTTCCCACCATAGAAGCTTATGAGTAATTTAAAACATTTTTTCCATTATTTGGTTAATCAATTTAAACTTTTAAAAAACATTTTTTAAAGTATTTTCTTTATTTTTATTGTATGTGTACCAGTGTTTACCTGTAGATATATGTGACCACATACATGCCTGGTGCCTGTGGAAGCCAGAAGAGAGCATGGGATTTCCTGGAAAAAAATTTCTTTTAAGCTTTTTGTTTCTTTATTATGTATATAGTGTTCTCCCTGCAGGCCAGAAGAGGGCACCAGATCTCATTATGGTGTGAGCCACCATGTGGTTTCTGGGAATTGAACTCAGGACCTCTGGAAGAGCAGCCAGTGCTCTTAACCTCTGAGTCTTCTCTCCAGCCCCCAGTTAGCTGAAGCTAGAAAACATTCTTTGTATCTTTCTTTACCCAATAGTATATATTTTTCCTCTTCCTTATATTTCTGTACAAATACTCTAAATTATTTGTTAATTCTTCTGCACAAAAAATATTTAGAGAATCTACTAGTTAAGAATTTTATGAGATAAGGTCAGAGTAGAAGCAGTATTTACATGAAAACATTTAGTATTCAAATGTTTAATTTGGTTTTTCTACTTTTAGGGTCTTGCTTTAAAAGATTTTCTTTATTATTGTTGTGGGGGTGGCATGTGCTATGTATGGTACGTGTGCAGATGTGTGAGGACAACTTTTGGGAGTCAACTGCCTCCTTTTGGGAACCAAACTTGGTGTTACCTAGTGTTTCAAGTCTTGAGCCATCTCATTGGTTATGTTGTTTTTTGACTCCTTGACCAAGATATGTGTGCTTGAAGTGCTTATAAGTGAAATAATGGGTTTGTTTTTAAATATTAGCAGGTATAGTGATGTGGGTAGGATATTAGGTAATAGTAATATATTGTTAAATTTACTTAAGTTGTTCCTTATAAACTGCCTATCTGCTGAAGTATTTAGACCTGCAATTTACTCAAGTGGTTTGTGTGATGCCAAAATAATAATGGCTAAAGCTACGTAGTAAGTCTACCATGTACATTGTAATACTACTTCTTTGACTTTTGTGTTATGGAAATTTAAAAATGAAATGTTAAAAGAAATTATTTTGCGTGTGCTTTTTAAAGAATTGAGTTGTGAGTAAAACATTTCATTCATGACGGAATTCCATTACTGTTTGGTTATTTCAGAATTTGAGACTGATATGCTTTTCATGTGAATTTTCCCCTATATTATTGCTAAAGTTATTCCCTTCTCTTTAATAGAGTAAAAAGAAGAAGAAAACTGATTTTATTCCCTACAGAGATTCTGTTCTTACTTGGCTTCTTCGAGAAAATCTAGGTATGTTGACCACTAGTCCTAATGATGGTCTGTTAGGGCTCATTATCCCCGTCTGCTTTGGAGGAGAATCATCACTTGGTGTTCATAGTAACTCACTTGAGTGCATCTTGTCTTTTTCTGGCTTTGCTTTTGATTTTCCCTGGTTGGACTCACTTCAGGAAACAAACTGAGGAGCAGTTACTGTCTCCTGTACTCCGTACAGCTACTTAAAATGTTGTTCCTTCTTCAGAGCCCACTGCCCCTGCCAAGGCTTATTTATTTTATGTGCTTGTTTGCCTGCCTGTAGATGTGTACACTGTGTGTGTGCCTGGTGCTTGCAGAGTTTATAAGGTAGCACTGGATCCCCTGACACCAAACCCTCTTTTCTGCCAAAGCAGTTAGCACTCTTAGCCACTGAACCCTCTCTGCAGCCCTTCCTCAGGGTACTTGGAAGCTCCTACTCCTTTGCATTTTACATAGCCAAGAGCATGCCACAGTCTTCTTCCTTACTATGGATGCTTTTGACCTTTCCGCCTTTCTCCTCACTCCTTGCTCCTCCTCCTCAAGAAAAAGCAGCCAATCAACTTTCCCATCACTGAGGGCAGTTTTCATAGAGTGGTTGAGACCTTCATTAGAGGGTTGTTTGTTTAAGATAGGCTGGCATTGAACTCCTGACACCGCCTCCTGTGTAGGAATTATAGGCATGTGCTACCACACCTGGCTAGCATGGCTTTAAGGGAAAGTAGGACTTGAACTGAACAGGAGATTCGGGAAGCTGAATGTGAGTGGAGCAGTGCATAACATGGGGACATCTAAGAAAGGTTTTGGGTTCCAGGCTTGGTGGCACACAGCTGTAATTCCAGCACTTAGGAAAGGAAGGCAGAAAGATTGTTGGCTCAAGCCAGCAAGGCTACATGATACATGAGACCTTGTCAGGACAAACAAAGAAATGAAAATTTTGTTGGCTTTTGATTAAACCTTAAGGTCTGTTCTCAGCTTTAACACAGTAAATAAAATTCTTTTATTTTTATTTTTTTTATTTATTTTGGTTTTTTCAAGTCAGGGTTTCTCTGTATTGTTTTGTAGGCTGTCCTGGAACTTGCTCTGTAGATCAGGCTGACCTCGAACTCACAGAGATCCACCTGCCCCTGCCTCCCGAGTGGGATTAAAGGCGTGTGCCACCAATGCCCAGCAAAATTCTCCTTTTAAAAAGGAGTGAAATTTGAGATACTTAATTCCTTTTCCTAGGTGGCAACTCTCGAACGGCAATGGTTGCTGCTCTGAGCCCAGCAGACATCAACTATGATGAAACTTTGAGCACCCTGAGGTACTGTGCTTTGGTCTCAGTGGCTGATTAGTGTTGTCTGCCATGGATCTTCTTACATGTTGAGGGCTGTCATGTGACCTTTTTCTCATAATGAGGGGAAAATGATTTTAGTTATAATGGAGTTTACTTCTCTGGCTTCCAGATTCATTGGGATAAGTAAGAGCTTTTTTTACAGGCAACATGTTCAAATTACTTGATTGAGTTATTGGATAGTTTTAGATAAGAAACATTTCTTATACTGTTTATTTCTGTCCTTTTATGTACAGTCTATAGATCTGTTCAAGTTGTAAAAAATAATGCAATTATTAGTACATGTAACACTGAAAACGTGCCAGCAAAATACTCACTGAATTTTTACATGTGGAATATTTTAATCTGAAACTGTCTTCCCTACTCCCATTTAAGATATTGTTAATAGAGCAGAAGAACACTACATAGGCTGGCAGACTGGGTGTGAGTCCTCTCTGGTATTTATTTCTGTTGTGATCTTAGCCAAATCCTCTGAGCCTGTGTCCTTTCTGTGAAGTTCTAGGAAGCCTCATACAAATAACTTATTTATCAAGGTTCTTCAAATGTTTGCTTTAGAGGCAACTGATATGTTTTTTATGAGAAGTACAGCCTCTGAGAAATGACACAGATGCATTTTCTTTCTGTATCTAGATATGCAGATCGTGCAAAGCAAATTAAATGCAATGCTGTTATCAACGAGGACCCTAATGCCAAGCTGGTTCGGGAGCTGAAGGAGGAAGTGACCAGACTGAAGGATCTTCTTCGTGCTCAGGGGCTGGGAGATATTATTGATAGTAAGTGAATAAGGGTCATACAGACTCTTACTTTCCTCTCCAGATTCTTATACTTAAAACAAGCTTAGGGCTGGGTGTAGTGTGCACTCAGGAGGCAGAGGCAGGCTGATCTCTGTGAGTTCAAGGTCAGCCAGGTCTATCTGCTGAATTGTAGGCCAGCCAGAACTGCACAGTGAGACCCTACCTCGAATAAATAAGTAAATAAAATAAGCTTAGATTTTAGAGATTTGATGAAACTAAATGGTAGTAAAAATGGTTTTTACAAGCTTCTTTTCTTAAAAATGCCAGTGAAATGAAATAATCTCAAATTTTCTTTATGTAGAATGTGCCCCCAAATCCCAGACTTTTTAATGTTAAATTTACTCTGAAAAAAGATTAACTACTTAATAAAAATATTACTTGGAAGCTCTTGTTTCCTGGTTTAGTGCAGTAGTAATAATGCATGTGTAAGAATTCACCATTCTGCTGGGTGTTGGTGGCGCACGCCTTTAATCCCAGCACTTGGGAGGCAGAGGCAGGTGGATTTCTGTGAGTTCGAGACCAGCCTGGTCTACAGAGCGGATTCCAGGACAGCCTACAAAACAACACAGAGAAAACCTGTCTTGAGTAACAAACAAACAAACAAACCAAAACAAAAAAAGAATTCACCATTCCAGTCTACTTTCAGATGAGATTTACTTTTGAATAACTCTTGTTCTCTATGGAAAAGTGAAGAGGAAACGTCTAATTCTTGTCAAGTTCAAGAACTAGACTTCCAGGAAGTACTGTTGTACAGCGTGCTTTTAAAATCTTAGTAATCTCTCTGTATAGCGTGTAGTTCAACTTTTTCTAAGTTCTGGTTGACCATTATTACCTAGCATGTGTAAGGCTCTGGTTTTAACCTCAGCACTTAAAAAAAAAGTTCTTGCCATAAAATAGTCTTCAGATAGAATATGGGTTTATTTAGTAAAGCATATTTTTATTTGTAATGTAAAATATAATACTTTGGAATACTAGCAGGTTTCAAACCTCCAACTTACTGCTTATTGATTAGAGTCTGGATTTTAATTAATAGAATTTGTGAAATGATAATATATATTACTGAATTTTCATTTTTTTAGCTTCCCAAATGCCAAATCCCACTCTACGTCACTACTAAATCTGAACTTTGACCCTTCTTGTATTTTCCCTCTTGCTTATCTTTAGTTGACCCATTGATCGATGATTACTCTGGAAGTGGAGGCAAATGTGTGTATACATGTATTGGTTATTTCCTGTACGCTGACGTGCTGATTGGCCTTTGCTGGGTCAGCCTTACAATGAGCTTTGCATGCCAGCAGTCCTAACAGGGAAATCCCAGACAGAGTGTGATGTAAAGTCAAATTCTCTTGTTTTTACCCTTCTCCATTTAGAAATAACAGTGAGTTTTAGTTTATGCCTTGACTGAAGTTGAGAGGTATAGGAATTTGAGTCTTCCATTCAGTCTTCAGTTTCTGTCCATATAATTAAATCAAATTCAAAATCACAGTTGATAAGGCTAGTGATGATAGCAGCTCACATTTATTGAATGTTTATAATATACCTGCCCTGTTCTAGGCACCATAATATATTATCTCTTATTCCTGTTATTGGTAAAATCACTTTATGCCCATTTTGCTAAAGCCAGGAGTGGTTCCTTTTCTGAGGTTCCGTGGCTTCTCGTGGTTAGGTCAGGCAGTTTAATTCAGGCTCTTGCTTTCAATCATTACTGTGCCAACACTGCCTTTTCCCTCTTGAGTTGTTTCCTCTTATGAACGGATTATTTAATAGAAAAATTCCTTTTTAATTAGCATTGTAAATGTGAGTCTTTGCATAATTACAAAAATCGTTTCCAGTTAGTCCAGCTGTCTGTAATTAAAGAGCCCTGTGCTTGTTGGGCTAGCACTTACCTGTGCCTATACTTCATTCGTTTCTGCATATCTTGGGCCTCATCCTCCTTGATCATTAGATAGACATTTTTCCTCTTTTCATAAATTACAAGTTAAAGTTTTAAAAAGATGTCTAAAGTATGTGACTTAAATGAAGACTACATACTATGAAAGATCACAAACCATATTAATACAAATGTTAAGTTGGCAAGGAAATAGCTGCCTGTGCTTTTAATATAATTCATCAAGATGTGTCAACTCTCAGTGTGGGGATTATTAGATTCTGTTGATCTGTTTATCTGTAAGAAGCCATTTCAGACAAGGGAATACATAGGAGAACCCAAATGTAGTACAGTTACTGTGCTGACTTAAGCCCAGAGGTCTGGCATGCCCAAACACATATGTGGCTCTTGGCCTGGAACGCTCTGTCTGAGATCTCCAAAGCTGAAGGGTATTGGTGTGGAGAGGATGCCTTCTCGGTCTTGCTTTTATGTTCAAGGTGCTGCCGCTGGCTTGTTGCCTATCTCTTCTCTGAGCAGCTGTGGCATTTCCTGAAAACCATGCATGACTAAGATCTAATCTTATATCCACAAAGGAGAGCTGCCTTGGCTACTCTTCAGTTTCCCTTCAGATCTACTTATTTTAATTCATTTTAGGACTTGCATGTGTTCACAGGGCCTTCTAATCTCCATCTATCCCTCTTTCCCACCTTGCTGCCATCACCTGACAGATGATTTTTGCTCCAGTTCCTGTTTGCCTTTTAAAACATGCCTCTTTGCTTGTATCCCTATGTTCTATATTTGCAGATGGTAGTTTTCAAACTGTCTTGAAGCAACTACTACAGCCTTTAAGGGGCTTCAAGAACTGGCTTTCATTAAACAGTAAATATTAGTAAACCCAAAGAGTGACTATTTTTCCTAACTGCTTCTGTTGCCTCATATCCTTTAAGGAAAATCTAGTTTTGATATGAATTCAAGTAATGTAGATTCTCAGATTGAAAAATGAGGGTCAACAAGATGACTCAGTGTATAAAAGTGCTTGCTTCTAAGCCTGAGTACCTGATTTAGATCCCCGCTACCATGTTGCGGAAGGAGAGAACTGACTCTCACAAATTGTCCTCTGACCACACAGGAACATAAGCAAAACAAATAAGTGTAATAAAGAAAACTTTTAGTGTGCTGATTTTAACATAGAAATGTAAATGGATGTTGGCACCCACCTGTAATCCCAGGAGAATCAGCACTCAGAGTGGGAGGCCAGAGAGTTGGAGATTATTCTTGGCCATATAGCAAGTATGAAGTTAGACCGAACTGCATGAGACCCAATCTTCAGACAAACAAAACAAAAAGGATTGTACCAATAACAGCGGTTTCTTTGTTGTTCATTTGAGAAGGATAACTAATGAATGAAATTACCGAAAGGCAAATCATTTGAGTTTTGTTATTGGTGGACTTTTTACCAGGACCAAGTTTAAGATTATTTTCAGTTGTATTCTAGACCTTAGTGTAAACATGTAAACTTGGTTATCATATTAGAAAGGAGATTTATCAGTGGCTTATTGATTGTTCTGCGAGACATAGAAGGGTTACTTAAATTATCAAATGGTTTTTAATTTTTGTTTGCTGTGATTCATAAATGGAAAATATACTAGAACTTGTTAATTCACTAATTGTTTTTTCCTGTTGGAACAACAACAAAGTTAATACCATATTTCCTCAAAATTATTTTCATTTCTATGATTATTTTTTAAAATTTAGATTATATTTTTGGCATATTAAAATGCTGCTATGCACAGACTACTAAATGCTCAAGAGTTGCAAACTAACATTTCTTAAATTTTTGTCTGAATCCAACTAAACACTGAGCTAGGCCAATACATGATATTAATTGCTGTTTTCCCTTTCTGTTAAAGACTGCTGGAGTTTGAAAAATATACTAAAACTGTAGCTATTGAATACTTAGACTAGCAGGAAGAATTTAAGGAGTATAGCTTACATGTTTAGGAAGAACATCTTTGAAGTTCTGTTTATACCCTCCCACATTGGAAACTTCTCCTTTCCAAATTCAGAAGTGGCTGACTGCTTAGGTTCAAATATCACAGAGTGACATGTTTTAGAACTGCCATCTAGTACAGTTTCAGAGCTTGTCTTTGTGTTACAGTGTGTTAGTCTTGGCGCTTTGATGCTGTCCTTTCTCACACTGGTGTTCCTTCCTGTCTTTTTCCCTCCTCTGCTTCTCGCCTTCTCTTTTTCTACCTTCCCTTCTTTCTGTCTCCCAGATCTGAAAGACTTTCAGAACAATAAGCATAGGTACTTGCTAGCCTCTGAGAATCAACGCCCTGGCAATTTTTCCACAGCATCCATGGGGTCCCTTACTTCATCTCCATCTTCATGCTCACTTAATAGTCAGGTGGGCTTAACATCTGTGACCAGTATTCAAGAGAGGATCATGTCTACACCTGGAGGGGAGGAAGCCATTGAACGTCTAAAGGTGAGTCTGAAGATTGAATGCAAAGCACTTTATATCTTCCAGAGGGCAGAACTAGGATTGAATGAACATCGAAGAAATGTTGGCTTAGCACATGGAGATGCTAACAGTTAGAGGTACCCTGAAAATGAAATTGCGTTTTTAAGTTAATTTCTTTTTTTGTTTTATTTTGGGTTTCAATACAGGGTTTCTCTGTGTAAGAGCCCTGGCTGTCCTGGAACTCTCTCTGTAGACCAAGCTGACCTTGAACTAAGAGAAATCCAACTGCCTCTGCCTCCTGAGTGCTTGGATTAAAGGTGTGCGCCACCACTGCATGGCTAAATTAATTTCTTTTTATTAGAATGTTTGTGTTTGACTTGACCAGAGATGGAAAGATCATAAGTTAGCCATACAAAATAGCTGATGAGTAGAGACATACAATAATCTGGGGGTAACTTATAAGTCATAGTGAAGTTGCTTGTTAGAAATTTAATTTTAAAGTCAGACATGGTGACTGAGCTGTTGACATGAGCCTGTTGACCCAGCGTTCAGGAGATGGAGAAAGGAGGATAAGGTGTTCAAGGTCATCCTGGCTACATAGTAAGTTTGAGACCAGCCTAGGTGGTATGAAACCCTTCTTAAAGTAGTAATAACTTCATTTTAAATGAAATAACTAGTTGGAAATTCTGGTTTCATTGAAGATAGAATTCTCTATAGAGCCATTCTTCTGTTAGTAAAATTAGTATACAATTAACTGGAAGTTTGAACATTTGAATGGTGATATCGGGTTTATTAGGGCACATGAAATTATACCTTCTAGAAGTCCTCACACAACCCTTAGTTACAGGAGAAACAGGCTTTCTCCTCCCACCTGGGGCACCAGGGAGTCCCTGGGCTATGCAGATTGCCCACTTCATTGGTTATTTGTTGGAAGCAAATACCAGAGAAGAAGCAACTTATTTCATGTTGTGCCTTGAGGTTAGTCTACAGAGAAGTCTACAGAAAAACTGCTTGCTCACATCTTTGTAGATCAGGAAACAGAGGACAGATAATACCAGGACTTGGCTGGCTTTCTCCTTCCCTCTCTCTGTTTCAGTCTGGGATCCCAGTTTATAGGATAGGGCTGCCACATTCATGGTGGGTTTTCTCTCTCGGCTCAACTTCTCTGGCAGTACTCTCACAGACACAGTCAGACATGTATCTGATTTGAAATCCATTCTCCATCCCAACTCTGTGGATGGAGGGTTCTTTCAGCCTGTTGCTGGCTGTATCCACGTCTGTCTTGTCTCTGTAAATGTGAAAGTCAGGAGCAGTGCTTGTCCTCTTCTCTTCAGGGACTACAGCGAGAGCAGACAGGTGTCACCTGTGGTGGTGAGAACACCTGCCAGCATTCCTGCCAGCCATCAGACCACATCATGTTTTCTCTTTCTACATCCAGGAATATTGTTTCGCTCTACCTTTTGGCCTTTGTGTTGAAGAGTACCCAGGCAGGGGGAACTCACTTAGAATATGGGAAGTTACAGCCGTGCTACCAAGTTACAGTCAGGGATCCTTTTCACCATCACTCAGTGTCCCCCATTCCCAATTGCTGCCCATTCAAAGACAGTTGAGAACAGTGGTACTCTGATAGGTAAAGGTTAAGAAAGGGCTGGGCAGTGGTGGTGTACTCAGGAGGCAGAGGCAGGTGGATCTCTTGAGTTTGAGGCCAGCCTGGTCTACAGAGTGAGTTCCAGGACAGTCAGGGCTGCACAGAGAAACCTTGTCGGGAAAAGGCAGACTGGCTTGTTGTACATCGCCAGTACTGAAAGTGAATCAGGGTTATATGCTTTCATCTTAGTTTTCAGGTCAAGCTGTAACATTTCATATAAAGTAGGCTTCAGTTTTCTTTCTTATCATCCCATCCTTTCTCTTGGCACTTTACTTTCTTCAAAAAGGTGACTACAGAAATAAAACCAGTGCTTTTGTGCCTTGATTCAGAGAGTAAGTGAAGTCCTAAAATGCCTGGCAACAGGAGAGAAAGGAGAAACCTTTCAGGGTTGCAAGGTACAGGATGATCTCTGCTGTTGTAAAATTGACTTGGAAGCTTTCCTATGGACTTCATTGATGCTGTGTGTGGCAAAGTGTGTTCATTAACAAATTTTCTCATAAGTAGGGGTCAGTGGTCTTGTTGCCAGCAGGACTGTGGCAGTTGGGAAAAGTGAAACTTCCTTTTTATTGTTTTATATCAAATGTCCACTTGAGGACTTTGAATCCTAACTGTTATTATATTGTGCCTTCCTGCACAAATGAGTACCTTTTTTTCTCTAGTGTAAAGGAGAGATTTCTTTTTGATTGCCAGCTGGAACCAACTGAAAATAATGCCACATGTTAGGAGTTAAGACAATAACTAGTTTTTTTGTTTTTAAGAATTAGATCACCAAATGTCTTCCAAATGACTTCTAGGGAATAATGCCGTCATTATTCAAGGAACTCCCCTCAGCTGCTTAATCTCATGAAAACAAAGCTGTATTTCGTTAATCACAAAATAAATCGCACTCTCAATTTTTCCTGAAACAACATAAGTAAAACATTTCTTTCCCTAGCTGTATTCTAGAGTTCAAAATGGCTTCTTTACAACTTTGTTCAGTGTCATGCGGTAGTTCACTGAAGCGTAAGAGCCTTAGTTCTGCTCTTATTTTGTGAATGGTGAGAATTGCTTTTGAACAGACCTGCATTTTAACAATGCAGTCACAGAACATCTTTAGTCCAGAGTGTGGGACAGCAGTTGTACAATACAAACGCTTGAGAATGTCTTAGGAGCTGCATTCCTAAGGCATGACACTACAAGAGAAAAATACTGCAGTGGAAAACAGCAACAGTGGAGGCTAATTCATCTTTCTAATGGTTATTTGCCTTTGCTTCTCTGTATCTTTAACTATAGAGTAGTCTTCATCACTGCTGCTACTTTTTCCTCCATTGACTAGCCTATTTCCAGATACAATGTTAATATCTCCATTCCTCTATAAGCCTCTCTGGAGAAAAAGATAGTGGAATGTAATTTTTCTTTAAAGTTACAACTTGAATGGAGCTGAATTCCTGTGTGTATGATTTGGTGTTTTTACTCAGTTAAGTTTTAAGTATGTGGCATGGCCACTGGCTCTGGTGTTTATAGACTGGCGTCAGAGTCAGTACTGTGAGTGCTGTTGCCCAGCCTTAGCCTATAAATACCCATGCACATGCATCACAGGAGCAGGCAAGGCAGCTGCTGTGCTAAGCGGTCTGAGGACTCACACTTGAGCTCATTCAGGAAGTGTGCTGCCCAGTACAGTAAACCCTTAGCTGTCTGACGGCTTCAAGGAATATTCAACCTTCTGAATGTTAAAACCTAAACTGTAGTGTGTGTGTGTGTGTGTGTGTGTGATGTGTGATGTCTGATTGCCCTATCAAGTTTTCTGCCTTCTTATTGAATCATCAAAAAGAAATAAAAGGTGGACATGGTGGCACATACTACAGTCTAAGCACCTGGAAGGTTGAACCAGGAGGACCATGAATTCAGCATCAAACTTGGCTACATAGTGAGTTTGAGGCCAGGGATGGCTAAATGAGACTCTATCTCAAAGGGTCTCATGTCTCAAAAAAAAATGAATGAATAAATGTAAAGGAAGTGAGGAAACCCAATTTTCAACCCAGCTCAAGGAGAAGTGTGGGCTTAGGTTAATGATATAGTTTTTTGGTCTTGAGTTTTCTCGTCTGTGGAATGATTTTGTAATACATGGTTAGTCTTTGCTAGCACTAAAGGGTTGCTAGTGTGCCACTCAACATTTTCCTTAGGCTGTCCTTGAAGTTTTTGTAAAACAATAATTTTTAAACATCATAAATATTATAACTTGAAGCCATGATTAAAAAAGAAGAAAATGCCTTGTATTTTTTAATGTTAGTATTACCTTTCCTCTGTCTGTGCACACATAGATTCACTGTTTGCACATTTTTATTAGGAGTTGGAAGATTTGTGTGTCTGAGGTTTACTTAGTTTTAGATTTAACGTTTATGATTCTTACCTTATAAAAAGAAGAAGAACTCATTGCTTGTTTTCTTCCTTTGTCTTCAGAGGGCACTATGTGTTTTATGCCTTCCTTGCTGAGTATGGCATTAAATTATGACTCTTCACTTCAACCTGTGTGTCCTTCTGTAGGAGTCAGAGAAGATCATTGCTGAGCTGAACGAAACCTGGGAAGAGAAACTTCGTAAAACAGAGGCCATCAGAATGGAAAGGTCAGGAGATAAAAATCTAGGGTGATTCCAAGTTTTCTGGGAAGTTAGAGTTACTTTTGTAATAAAAGATGAAATAGATTTAAAAACAAAGAGCTCTCTTTCTGCCTAAAACACAACACAAATAAATCTATGGGCAAGATTGTACCAATCACACTTACACTTTGAAGTGAAACCTGCACATTCAAAGACTCTCTAAGGCAGTAGTTCTCAGCCTGTGGTTCATGATCCCTTCACAGGGTTTGCATATCAGATGTTTGCATTCCAATTCATAGCAGAAGCAAAATTACAGATAGGAAGTAGCAACAAAAATAATTTTATGGTTGGGGGTCGCCACAACATGAGAAACTGTATTAAAAGGATACAGCATTAACAAGGCATGTGCTTAATAGTTTCCACACTTGAATGTTGCTTGCGACTGAGAAAAATCATACTAAGTAAAGGAGATTTTCATTTGTAAAAAGTTGACTTGGCAAAAGGTCCATATACAGAGCTGTTCTTACTCTGTCTTTTAGACAGAGTTACTTTGTCTAGAACTATTTAGGTAAAAGGTATAGTTCAGGTTGCAAACTTCGAAAATTCTTGTTCTGTCTATACTGTTGGAATAAAGGCACACTTGCTTTTTTTTTTTTTTAAGAAGTCAGTTCCTATCTTCCCCCTTTATGAAAATGAGGGAGAAATGAGCTCTGATGTACTGTCAATAAATGTAACAAAGAATTTTCTTACTTACATTAGGTTTCTCTAAACTAGAGTTACTGGGGCAGTCAAGATGTCTCAGCATGTAAAGGCACTTTCTTCTCAAGCCTGATCGCCTGAGTTTGATTCCTGATCCCCATTTAAAGATTGAAGAAGAGGATCAAGTCCACAAAGTTCCTCTACATCATTAGGCACACACACCCCAAAACAAACAAAACCAAACCAAACCAAAACAAACAAAAAAAATACAGAAAACCAAAACCTTCCTACAATTATGGTAACAAAATGGGCGCTGGGGTGGGAACATAACATTTGAGAAAAATCACATTTGCAGACTATATGTCATATACCCAAGCCCCTGCCCTCCCACTCACCCCCTGTATTATCTGTGGCTTCACTAGTTTTAAAACCCCCAAGTTACTTTGATTGCTTTCTTAGATTCTGGGGAAATAGTTTTTTTTTTTCAAGCAGAATGCACAGATTTAAGGAATATAACCTTTCAAAATTCTTACCTGGAGGAACAGAACTTTTAGCATGGGCATATTCTTTGACTTATTTTGAACATTGGAAACATCAATGCACATGAAATAAATAAATTTAAAAAATTCTCATTGGTAAGCCAGGCGTTGGTGGTTCACGCCTTTAATCCCAGCACTTGGGAGGCAGAGGCAGGAGGATCTCTGTGAGTTCGAGGTCAGCCTGGTCTACAAAGCGAGTTCCAGGACAGCCTCCAAAACAATACAGAGAAACCCTGTCTCGAAACAAACAAACAAACAAACAAACAAAAATTCTCATTGGTGATAAGCATATCATTCTACATCTCCTTGCCAGCTTTAGGTACCGCTTTTGCTTTGCCTGCTTTGTTAGCTCTTTTCAGAGTAACTTAATTGATGTTTTGGTATTGTTACTCTGATTTACTTGGGGATTTTTTGTTTTTGCTTTGTTTTTTTCTAGAGAAGCCTTATTGGCTGAGATGGGAGTTGCTATACGGGAAGATGGGGGAACACTTGGCGTTTTCTCACCCAAAAAGGTAGGTAACCATGTTGTAAAACTCAAGCAAAAACAGCAGTTTGTCTTTGTAAGATTCTTCATGTCTTTCCGATATAGTCGTTTTTATCTAGATCCTTAGCTTAACCAGACATTTCTGCTTTCATCTTACAATACAAGGGACAACCTAGTTGTAAAATGATTATAGTGTTTACAAAAGATAAAACTCAGGGCAGTGAGTCTGAACCTTTTAGCCTTGAGTATATTTAAGCATCTTTTAGTCCTTCCTCTTATCTTTCTTACCTAGCTCTAGCTCCCGTTGCTTTACTTATGCTCCTTTTTAATGTCAAGGGCTTGCCTAGCTCGCAATTAGCCCTGGGCTTGGTCTCTAGTACCATACTGTTTGGGAAGGGGCCACCTGTCTATAATCCCAGTGCTTACGAGTTGGAGGCAGTAGTCATCAGCTCTGCTCTGTAACTTCTGGGAAACATTTTCAGCTGTTGAGATTTGTGAACGACAGCACTGTTCCATGATTTCTATTATAACCATTTCTTTAGTAAAGCAGCTCCAGTCCTTACTCTCTGCATGTCTCTGCTCCCTTTTCAGCAAGCCTTCTTCTGTAACCACAGTTGTAGATTAGACTGGTAACATGTCTTGTGTGTTCTTTTTTACTTGAGTTGATTCTTACTGTTGGATAGTAGAATACCTTATTAAACAATTGTTTTCTGTGCTTATTTCTCTTGACATGAGTAGTACATGTATTGATGTACCAAGCACGTGTCAGCACTGATAACTTCTTTCGAGGTTCTGGGTATATTTGTGTGGTACCCTACCGTGTGTGTGTGTGTGTGTGGCTCCAGGTTCAATGTCCTACTACTGTGTTGTTAACAAGTATCTACATGCATAGATTCTGTTCTAGGTTAAAATTCAAGGTCAAAGAGATTTAAATTGACACTTTTGCTTGATGTGAACCAGTGTTCTTACGATTTTTGTGAGAATTCTTTTGCTTACTTTTTTAAAAAAATCATAGTCACAAAACTGTCTTACAAATTCCAATATTTTCCAACAGAAAACATTGATTTAGCTGGGTATAGTGGCACACAACTACACTCACAGCACTTGGGAGGTAAATACAGGAAGCTCAGACAGAGTCCAGCATCTGTCTACTTTATAATAAATTCAAAACCAACCTGTGTCACACACAAGAAGAAAGGGGCTGCAGAGATGGCCCAGCAGTTAAGAGCACTTGCCGTTTTTCCAGAGGATCCAACTTTGATTCCTGGCATCCAAGTTGGCACGCAAAAAACTGCCTGTCACCCAGCTCTAAGGGATCCAAAGCTCTCTTCTGACCTTGTGGGTCCCCAAACATACATTGCTCATTTTCTCACACACGCACACACACACATGAAAATCTTTAAACTAAAAAATTAAGCAGGTGTGGTGACTCACACCTTTAGTCCTAGCACTTGCCAGCACTTAAAAGGCAGAGGCAGGAGGATCTGTGATTAGAGACTAACCTGGTTTACAGAGTGAGTTCCAGGACAGCCAGGTCTACACAGAGAAACCCTGTCTTGCAAAAGGAGTCCACTACTACCACCCAGCTGTTTTAAGACTTTTAATCTGGGTATTTACAAAAATTGTATTGAACTTATCCAAGAATTGGTCTTTTTTTCATTTTTCCTTTGTGTTCACAATGTTTTAGCCTTATGAGAATCTGAGCCTTGGACATATCAAGTAAAGGTGCTTGCCACTAAGCCAGACAAGCTGAGATTGAACTCCAGAGCATACAAGGTAGAAGGAGAGAGCCACCTTCCTCAAGTTGTCTTGGATCCCATATGCCTTTTGTGGCACGTCTGCATTCACACACATATATACACACATACAAAACAAATGTTTGTTAAAACAAACAGCTTGGTGTTAGAGGTAGATAGTTCAGTGACTAAATGCACCTGAGACTCCTGCACACATGCTGGGCAGCTCACAACTGCGTGTAACGAGGCAGTGGTGCTTACCATCTCTACCCATGACCCTTTCACAGGGGACACCTAAGACCATTGGAAAACAGATGTTTGCATTATGATTCATAATAGTAGCAAAATTATAGTTATGAAAATAATGTTATGGTTGGGGCTCATCACAACCTGAGGCACTGTATTAAAGGTCACAGCATTAGGAAGACTGAGAAGCATTGCCTTAGAGGATTCAATGCACTCTTAATGGCCCCACACATATTAATTTATATTCTCTCTCAGACACACACACACTTGACTTAAAAAAGAAAAGTGGGTTTTCTTAATTTCAGAGTTCATGGGTTTGTTTTTTTTTTTAATGTGTCTGTTTTGTCTGTAAGTTATGAGTGGGCCTCCTTGGTGTCCATTGGCCAGAAGAGATTGTCACATCCACTCACCAGGTGTTGCAAGTGCTTGTGAGCACCCAAGTCGGCACTTGGGATCCAACCTGAGTCCTCGGGAAGAACAGACAGTTGTCTTACCTACTGAGCTACTACGTCTCCAGCCCCGTTGTTGTTATTTTACTTTTTGAAACAGGGTCTCACTGTGTAGTCCTGAGTGGCCTGTGTAAATCAGGCTGGCCTTGAGAATTCACCTGTCTCTTCCTCCAGAGTACTAGCACTAAAGGTGTGTGCCACCATGCCCAGCAGGACTCATGTTCTTAAGCAGTGTGTATTAGTCCAATTTGAAGAGGCCTATAGAGCATGCTTCTTGTATTAATTGCAGAGTCACAGCTAAGGCTTTTATTGATCCTTTCCCTTCATGTACTCTGGGGAATCTGAGATGCTTTTAAGCTTCTGGTAAAACCCTGTTGCTACAACTCTCTTATGTTTCTAACCCCAAACTGATAATCTGTAACCTTTTTCAGACTCCACATCTTGTTAACCTCAATGAAGATCCACTGATGTCGGAGTGTCTGCTTTATTATATCAAAGATGGGATTACAAGGTATATTTGCTTCTAATTTGAGTCATCCATTTAATATTTTGTTCTAGATAATTGATAACTAAAGGTAATTGTCCGAAAATTATAATAATTTGCTATTTTTCCATTCTGGAATGATTATAAATGACCGTCTCTCCTCTTCCCAGTTGTATGTGGAACCAGTTAGCTAATGGTTTCTTCTAGAAGAACGTAAATAAGTTACCCTAAAACAACACAGATGAGTTCATTAGAGAACTTGATTTGCCTTGTTTTCTTATGGTGTGTAAATTACATCAGTGTTGATCATGTAAGGCGGTTCATATACTTGAGAATAGAATTTGTAGTTGAAAGCATCTGATAGAAAAAAAGCAGTGTATTTTTCTATATATCAAAGGATAGTCTTTGGGAGAAAGCAGTTCATTGTTTATAAGTGCTTTTCTGTGTCTGAATTTCCCTGGGAAACACTTTCCCTTGTGTTCAGGGTTGGCCAAGCAGATGCTGAGCGGCGCCAGGACATAGTGCTGAGTGGGGCCCACATTAAAGAAGAGCATTGTGTCTTCCGGAGTGAGAGAAACAACACTGGGGAAGGTGGGAGCTTTGTGTCTTAAGTTCTCAAGCAACTTTTTCCTCGGGAGTATTGAAATCCTTAAGACTTGGGATTCCTTATCTCTGTTAGTAGAATTTGTTTGTCAATAAAATATTGAAAAAAGTGGAGAAACCTGAGATGTTTATAAATGCAAGGACAGCCATAGCTACTTAACATGAAAATAGCATGAACAAAAGTAGCCCTTTTGTTACTGCCAAGAACTGAGCAGGATGTAGGCAATCAGGTTTGGTCTTGAATGTTAACTATTTAATAGAAAAGTAAAAGAAAAGTAGCTATTCTAGTTGATGGAAGAATTGAAAAATCCTTAATATTGGCCCAGTAGAACATTTTTATCTTGAGGGGAAGAAAAGTCAATTTTGTGTGAGTTCCCACCACAACCTGGCTGTGTAATAGGGCTTTCATGCAAGGCACTAGTTTTTTTCTCAGCCAAATGTTAGCTTCTGTTTATATGTCAAATACAAATATACGCTGCATAGTATTTTATTAGAATTGATATTTATATCTGTTTTTGAGGCTTGTGAAATTTAGGTAAATGTTTTTATCACAACCATAGCTCCCAATAGCTTCCTATACTGAAATTAGTTCTGGTATCTTAAAACAAGCAAAAACCCACACAAACAAACAAAAACTTCCCTATAGACCCTTCAGACTCTTGGTTGGTGGCAAGGATCTATTCTAGTTACCAGGAGCCCTGTTAGTGAACCACTTTTCATTGTTTGATTGCACTAGTTTATGACAATAACATCAGTTTGTATCCTTCCTAGTGATTGTGACTTTAGAGCCCTGTGAGCGCTCAGAAACATATGTGAATGGCAAGAGGGTGTCCCATCCTGTTCAGCTGCGCTCAGGTAGGCTGAGAAGAGTTCTGAAGTCTTCAGCAATGTACATATGGCTTGTATGAGCAACTCAGACTTGGGCTCTTTACTTAAAAGCTGAAGTTATCTTAGAATACATGTTTTTGTAAAACTACAGAGTAGTCTTTTTAATCTTGCTTTTGTTGTTGCTTGCTTGATGTTTGGTTTGTTTTTGTTGTTGTTGAGATGGGGTATCACTAAGTAGCTATGGTTGGATTGGAATTCACTGTGTAGACCATGTCAACCTCATAGAGATCTTCCTGTCCCTGCTTCCTGAGTGGTGGGGTTAAATGTGAGGCCATCACATCCAGCCAAGTATCTGTCTTCTTATATTAAGAGGATGAAATTATACTTATTTTTTAGAGATAGGTTTTCACTGTGTAGCCTGGGAAGGCCTCAAAGTTGTAAACCTCTTGCCTTGGCCTCCTGAGTTCTAGGATTGTAGGCATACACCACCTTGCCTGGCAAGATATACATTTTAAAAACTAGATGCTATTCATTAAAAATTGATTCCTTGGAAGTGGGGCTGTAGCTGAGTGGTAAAGCATATTTGGTAGTATATACATGGCCCCAGATTTGACTCACAGCACTGCAAAACATGAATTCTTACCCCTATTTCTGTCTTGTTGTAGGGAACCGTATCATCATGGGCAAAAACCACGTCTTTCGTTTCAATCACCCTGAACAAGCACGAGCTGAGCGGGAGAAGACTCCCTCTGCTGAGACACCCTCGGAGCCTGTGGATTGGACATTCGCTCAGAGAGAGCTTCTGGAAAAACAAGGGATCGATATGAAGCAGGAGATGGAGAAAAGGTAGCCCACAAGTGTTAGGCCGCCTGTGTGGTTCTTTGAATCCCGTAGCCACTTTCACAACAGCAGCTTGGGGATATCACAACTCACTCTTTCTTAGTGTTTTGTTTCTGTTGTTTGTTTTGCTTTTAGGCTACAGGAAATGGAGATCCTATACAAAAAGGAGAAGGAGGAAGCTGATCTCCTTCTGGAGCAGCAGAGACTGGTAGGAATCCATCCTGAAACTGCAGCTATTGGGAAGGGCAGGTGCTCTCACGCCTCCTAGCAGGCTCTCATTGGTGCCACACATAGCTGTCATTTTCTTAATAAGCTATCATATATCTTCTGCCTATCTTAGTCTGGAAAAACATTTATAAAGGCACTATTTTATACTTTTTATTTCTTAAAATTAGATCTTCTGTCACAATCAGAAGCTTTTTGAAGAAATGAGAGCTTTTATGATGCCTTTGCCCTTTGGTAGTGCTTTTTGAATGTGTTACAATGGTGGTCTTTTGAATGAAAATAACTGAATATTGAATTTGGTGGGAGTTTGCCTTGGTTTTGTTTCTGGCCACTTGATAGTACTAATTCTCTGCTCTTAGGCTGACGTGGGGATTATTCTTGTGCTGGGCAGATTGTTTTTTTCTTGTTGTTGTTGTTGTTTTTAAGTTAAACTGTGTCTAAAAGTGTTGCTGCACAGTTGCATGTGTTAATCCTTTTCTGTTCCCCTGCATGGAGTCTGAACTCTCAGTAAGGTTCTCGGTGGCTTTTGTGGTAACAGGGTAATGAGGGTCTGCACACTCATCTCAGACAGGAGAGGGATGCTCCTGACTCTGGGTTGAAAGGGGATTTGGGTAAGCAGTTGGAAAGTCAGTTAACCATCCTAGCTATAATGGTTAGGATTTTATGATGATAATTGATTTCCCAGGTTTTATAAAAATGTCTTTTGAATAAATTGCCCTTAGTAGATTTTAATATTTAAAGCCAGCCACAAAGCTTTGGTAGTAAGAAATTCCATAGTTCTCGATGTGGTGGTGCATGTCTTTAATCCCAGCACCTGAGAGATAGAAGTAGGAGGATTTCTTGAGTTCATGGCCTAGCCTGGTCTACATAATGAGTTTCAGGACCGCCAGGCTGCAAAGAGAGATTGAATACAATTGATTAAGTTTAGGAAGTTACCCTTTAAAAAACAACAACAGCAAGGGTATATTAATGAGAAATCAGGGAGATAGACCCTGGATTTTTCCCTTAACATGAAACACAACATGTAAGTTACAGCCTTATGCCACACTCTGTTCTGTTGGAGAACTATTGTGTTCTGGTCTATGAAAGTCAAGATGCTAAGTAAAAGCAGCCTTTATCAGAGCACTTGGTTCTGGACAGTGGGTTAATCCAGTTAATTTATTCTTTTAAATTATAATGAAGCCCTCAAAATATAGATTGGAAGACTAAATTAAGTGTTTGGAATAAGATAATATCAATGTTACAGGAAGAGTATCTCTAGTGGCTTACTTTACTTGGCTTTGGCTTTAATGGTTAGGGCTTGAAAGGTTTGTGACACATGAAAGAGTCTTTTATCCTAATTATGTAGTGTAATCTAATAACATTCTTCTCATGGTCTGTGAGACATCCAAGAGGAAAGGTATAATTAAGCACTATTTGTTAACCACAGTGTCTCATATTTTAATGTACGTTGCTTTGTAATTTACAAAGAACTTTAACATTTATCATTTTCCTTGATCCTCGCAACAACTCTGGTAGATGTGTATGTAAATGAAATATATAACATTGCCTTTAGTTTATGTTGAGGTTAAGGCTGAAAACAATGTTGTTGTGCATACATACATTTTAAAAATTTGCTTCAATAGTGGCCTTACATACCTGCCAAATCATGCATCTAAACCTTAAACTTGAGTCTTCTAACTTATATCAGTGCCTCTCAATCACTGAAAATCTTTTTTAAAATATAGGTAGTGATTGAGGTCTGGGGGTGAGATCTGCAGTAATGAGTTTCTCAGAAGTTCCCAGGTGATAATGATGCAAGTGCCCTTGGGAGCACTCTGTGAGTAAGTAGGCATTAAAGGATACCCTGTCTGGTGATCTCCATCTCCAAAAGTTGATGAGCATTTTATGCCTTGACATAAAAACCACCAGTGGAACCCAGCATGGTATCGCATAACTGAAATCCAACCACTATGAGGCTGAGGCAAGAGGAGCATGAGTAGTTTGCATAGTTCAACAAGACACTGGATACAAATCTAAAACAAGCAAACAAAACAAAACAAAACAAAACCGGCAAGGGGCTGTAGTTGAGAGGAACAGGGATTATGTAGCATACAAAGGCTCTGGGTTCAATCCTGAGGAAAGAAAGGAAGGCAGGGAGGAAAGGAGAAAGAAATACTAATAAAGAGGTAGTAAATTGTCTTTAAGATATACTTTGTATTGGTTTTTAGGGGGACATCCATAGTCTGCAGGCAGTGAGGTCCTGGTTGTCATTTGGTTTGTGTATCTAATGCTAAACTAGGATATTAAGAACAACTCCCTAATAGCAAGGAAGTTGCTTTCCATTCAAAAGTCTAGCTGTCTTCTAGTTAAGTTTCTTGACCTTGAGAGGAGCTACTGATATCTAACACTTGTAGCCTAGAGGTTATTTGCTAGTAACAATACTGGTGGAAAAATGTGTTTTTTATGATTCTGTATGCCAACCAGTATGTACCCTATAAAGATTCAGAGGATATGAAGTAATTACTGTTTTCACTATTTTGTTAAAATATTCATAAATTATTTTAGATTATTATCAAACATTTAGTACTATAATTTTTAAGCATAGTGCCAACATTAAAAATTGGAATTCAGAGAGTCCACAGGATGGCTCAGTGGGTAAAGGTGCTTGCCATCAAACCTGCTGAGCTGAGTTTCATCTCTGGAACCTACATGGTAGATGGAGAAAATTAATTCCTGCAATGGCTCTGTGACTTCTGCACATGTTCCATGGCATGATCAGGCTTTCAAATACACACATATACATGTACATGCATGTATATATACATCTCATAGGTTTTTAAAATTGGGATCCACTAATTTCCTGTAACGGTAGCTCCCCACATGCACCCCGTCTCTGTTTCAGAGCGTCCCTTACACTAGTGCTCTTGTGCACCTGCGTGTCTTCACCCTGCGCTCTCCCTCTCTTCTCTCCCACACTTGCGTATGCACACTCATCTGGAGGCTTTTCAGCAGGCAGCCACGTACTTGTTCCATAATGAAAGTGGATGAATCATTTAGTGACAGGGAAAGGTATGACTGCTTGATTTGAACTTTTTGAATTTATGTAGACTATTGTTTGATTTTAGAGTTTAAAGATATTTTTTTATTCCTCAAGTCTGACACTTGAGTAACGATTAGAATAGTTGTTATTTCCTAAATTCAGTAATACTTACTTTATCCCTAAGGAATTATAAAAGAAAACAGCCAAGAAAAAAGTGATAGTTCTGTGGAAGACCCAAAGGAAAGCTGTGTTCTATAAAACTGAGAGAGAGAGAGAGAGAGAGAGAGAGAGAGAGAGAGAGAGAGAGAGAGAGAGAGAGAGAGAGAGTGTGTGTGTGTGTGTGTGTGTGTGTGTGTGTATACAGGGGAAAAGAAACACTCAAGCAGGACATGCTTCTTACTCTTATCTATTGATGTCTTGAGCTTGGGAAGATGGCTCACTAGTAAAGAACTGCTGCACAAGCATAAAGACCTGAGCTCTGATTCCAGAACTAAAGGCATGGCAACTCATGCAACCCAGCATTGACAGTGGGCAGAGACAGGTAGATCTATCGCTGAAGCTCATTGGCTGGCCAGCCTAGCTGACCTTGAACCTTCCCACCTGCAAAACACAGACACACAGACACACAGACACACAGACACACAGACACACACACACACACACACACACACACACACACACACACACACATTAGCCTTCTACATTTTTCTTTCACAGTGCTGGGGATTGAGCCTAGGGCTTTGTCCATGTTAGGCAAGTACTGTATCACTAAACTATACTTAAAACTTCCACCACTCTGCTTTTTTAAAATGGGAAGAGGGAACAAGAGGGGGTATAAAGAAAGAAATATGTGCTATGCAAGCCTGAGGACTTATGTTTGGATTCCTCCAGCACGAATGTACAAGCCAGGCATGGAGACATGTATCTATCTAACCTAGAGCCAAGTAGATCCAGGGTCTCATAGCCAGCTAGTTTAGTTCAGATGGCTTTGTTGGGCACGAGGCATTCACATGGTACACTGACATACATGAAACTGTGTTGTGAAACCAGTTCACTATTTTAGGCCTAGGTTTAAATATTTTTCCTTTGCTTTTTGAAGAGAAATAATGGCTGCAGTTCAGATAACTGAAGACAGCTCAAGTGTATCCATTATATATATATATATATATACATATTCTATTCTTCCTGTTTATTGGCAACATTGTCACCTAAAAATAATAGTCCCCAAGAAGGGATAAGTCACATGGGTTTTCTAGGTAGAAAACATGAATTATTTGTCTGTAGAATTTTTGTTGGTTGGTTTTTTTTTTTGTTGGGGGGTGATCTTATACTAAGTCCAGGTTGTTATGGAACTTGTAGCAGTACTCCAGTCTCAGACTCCCATGTGCTGAGACTATAGGTATAAGCTTGCAACCCTAGTATCTGAAATACTCTGTTATACTAGAGTTGTAGAGTGCTTGCCTAGCTTGTCCAAGGCCAAGTGCCTTCTCTCAAAGAAACAGGTTTAAAATACGCTATTGGGAGTTTTTAAATTATGTTTAATGAAAGACTGTTTACCTAACTTAATTTTTATTCTGGTAACGTCTCAGAATTTTAGAGGGAGGTTATTATTAGTTTTATTGTGTAAAAAAAAACCTGTTATCCTTTTTTAAAATGCTTTCTTGTTCTCAGAGTAACAAACCTTAATGTACAAATGAAGAGGATTAATTTACTATGCGAAAAAAAAAAAAGGCAAACCCAGTATCTGCTTCTAGAAAGATCATTTTCAAAACCCTCCCATCCAACAGGAAAGGGAATTAGATTGATAGGATCCTTATATGCTCAGCAAATAAGAGTTCTTAGCACTTTTAACATCATCTCTGTTCGCTTCTTTCTCTACTTTCTATCTAACTTTTTTCTAGGGTTGCTCATTTTAGTAAAGCTAAACAAAACTTGGCATCCTGCAGTTTCACTAACCTTTG